TTTTGTCGCACCGTAAGGGACACAGGCTTAGCAAAGGAATTTCTTATTCACAGACACTTTACACAAACAACACTAGAGAGCTACAGATCTATGGGAAAACAATAAAATCCTGAATGCAATCCCCCTGGTCTGAATTCATCCCTCCTGTGAATCCTTGGTTTGGTCAGAGTCCTTAGGCCAGGCAGCTCTTCCTGCCTGCTTGACCTGGGCTCCTTTGCTTTTGGCATTGGTCAGACTCCCTTGTTAGCAATGCACCTCTTTTAAAACTTACTCTGTCCCCTGTTTTCCCATGTGCTCCAAGCTGTGGAGAGGTTCAAGATCCAGCCCACCACTCATCAGCTGCTGTGTAGATAGTCATTCAAAGTTAACGGCCCTATTGTAGAAAACCATTCTTGCAGTAGGGAAGAGCCATTAAATGTTGATGGCTCTTGATTGCTCTGACTGTGCTTCTCAGACAGTCCGTCCAGTAGTCCAGCCTCTGCTACAGAATGAGTTCTCTAATCCACAATGAATATTACAGTTAAAACTGGTGTTCACTAAACAAAATGTAATTCATAATTGGACACAGACTTACCCCCAACCTGTCACACATGACCTATACTTTTGGCATATGCATGTCCCTAGTGCACACGTAGGAATCATGTAGACAGAAGAGTCCACTGGGGCTTCTTGGCCATACTCCCCTCATACTGGATTAGGAAGATATAAAAGGAGAAGTAGCCCCAATCAGTCTTCAGCTCTTTTCACTGGTTGAGGAATTCCTTTACAAGAGATGCCAGAAAAGGGTGGCATTTTGGAAGTGGTAGTAAAGTAACCATATCAGCAAGCAGAGGCAAAGGCAGTTCCGGTTACTGTACATATTATCTTATGCTTATATATATCTTGGTTTTTAATTTCTTGGTATTCAGATAATAGCTCACCTAGGCCCTCTTCATGACTTCCATGTTCTTCCCTTTGATAATCATGCTCCTGCAATTCCATGTTGGTCTCTAGCACTCCTTGTTTCTACAATATTTAAGAAAAATGTTAGTTTTTCAGTGTGGTTGCATAGAGCAAAAGAAAAGTCTTAAGTGCAATGATATATTGAGAAATGTTTCCGTTCACACATTTTTATGATAGATATCACTGTGCTATGTATAGGCATCAAATATACCTTGAATGCATTAGGAATTAATACTTATGGGCTCTTCTGGTTTTCAAATTTAAAAAACTGTATCATTAATTGTGACAGATTAATAGAATGCACCTTTTGTTTACCTCAAAAAGTGCTTATCCAATTCTAACTCTGCATAGAAACTAGACCAGTAGAAGATTAACTCCAATGTCAGGACCCAGAATGCCCTCCAATGTCAACATGTGGGACAATGGGCTGCAAAAAACCTAGGTAGATTGAAATCAGAATCTGAATTCCCCTAATTCCAATGAACATTAAAATGTGAGTGTAGACTCAGAGTCTCAAAATGGGAGCAAGCAGCCCATAGAGCTTGCATAACTCCCAGAGTAGAATCCATTTACAGTAATCAAAGTAAGGAAATACTTGGAAACACCGTTTTAAAAAGTAGGCAACCATCTCGGATGTGCACTTTGTTAAAACCTCTGAGGAAGAAGCCAGCCTGAAGGGTCTGGCCTTCTATTGGAAGTGGTCAGTTCCAAGAATAAACTTAAGATGTTTTCTGTGAGCTAGCTCATAGAGATGTAAAAGTAGGCATTCAGAAGGTCGAGAGCTCCAAAGCAATCCTAACTGCTTAGCAAGGGGACTATAGAGCGGAGAATCCCGCTATGGAACTTCCCCCTACTAAGAGATTTAATGAGGTTCTGAAGATCCAGAAAGGGTCTAAAATGACCCTTCATTCTGGGGATAAAAAAACATTGGGAATAAAATATCTGCTCTTGTACCGATTAGAAATTCTTTCTATTGTTTCCAAACAAAAAAGGGTAATGACTTTGCCTTTCAATAGTGTCTTGTGAGAGGAAAACCCCAAAAGAGGTAGAGTTTTAAGTCTGAACAGGTTCTTTCCTCAGATCTTCTGTATTCTCTCTCACGGGAGTATTGGGTAATTGCCACATTGGTGACACAATGTCATCAGAGCTACCATCTGTCTAGGATAATGGGCCAACAAATCCCAGATTAAAACACAACAGCTATCAGATAAATCTGAATGCAGAGTGACTAGACATAGATTCCTTGATAGACCTGTTCCCCAAAGTTACAAATGACTAGGGAGATTCTCCAAATGTCTTTATCCCCGCAGAATGCATAGCTCAACATCCTGTTCATATCAATACCTTCCTGAAGTGTTGCCTCAGAACTTTGAACTAATTCAGCAGTTCTCAAACTGTGGGTTGGGACCCCAAAGTGGGTTGTGACCCTGTTTTAATGGGGTTGCCAGGGATAATGTTAGATTTGCTGAGGCCTGGGGCCAAAGCCAAAGCCTGAGCCAGGCCCCCAGTGGTGGGGCTCGGGCTTTGGCTTCGGCCCCTGGCAACAGGGCTCGGGCTACAGGGCCCCTTTTCAGGGCAAAGCCCTTGCGCTTCAGCTTTGGCTCCTCCCTACACCTCCCCAGGGTGGCAGGGCTTGGGCGGGCTCAGGCTTCAGTCCCCCCTCCTGGGTCATGTAGTAATTTTTGTGGTCAGAAGGAGGTCACAGTGCAATCAAGTCTGAGAACCCCGAACTATTATAATCTGACCCATCAGGAGCCATAGACAAAATCAACAGAATGCAGATCTGTTGCACCAAGTCCTTTGGAGAACATACTGTCAACTCTCAGCCAATCAGCAACAGATTTAGGGGCCTTGCTGATTTCTCCTCCAATGGGAAGCAAACCTACAACATGGAACCTGGGTATATTCTTAGTGTGACTTATTTACACTATATACATGAATCCTTGAACAGAAGTGGTCACAAAGAACATACAGGCAAACCCTGTTTCAGGAATCATCAATGCCTGATTACCATGAGCAACACTGCCACAAGAATTGACCTTAGTTAGAGAGATTAGGGCAGCAAGCAAACTCTCATGCTGTTTGCATCAGCTTCCTCCCGAACAAACATGCATCACAAAACTAACACAAATACAGCTTTTCTTCAAAGACTGAACACGACCTGTGTGCTAAGAAAAAGAACATTTAAGACTATACAGGATACAGTAGTGTGATTCCTGCATAACAATGCATTTAATACATGAAACAGTGACACGCTTCCAACAATCTGTTACTTTTAGCTTTATATTTGAGATCAGTAAGTGCAATCATTTCATACCTGAAGAGATTTTCTTTTCTCATCTGTGACATTATTAGCAATCTCATCAAAGCCCTGTTGAGAGACCACTGAGGAGAGTGAAGTTATTGTAAAAACTTTTCCATTAATTGAAGGTCGACTAGCGAGATTAGCTTCTGGGGAAAAATAAGAATAAATTTCAAATTTCTAAATATTATATATAGAAAATGTGATATTTGGGAGGGATAAAAAAAAGTTTACTGCGACGAGTTTGGGATGAGTGTGTTACTCACAAGGGAGAAGTCATTATTATTTATTTGTATTGTGGTAGCTCAGAGGAGCTTCCAGCCATGGTCCCTATGGTCCCTCTGTACAAACACAGAACAATGAGTGAGTTGTACAGAATATTCATAAATCACATGGAAATAAAATATCCGTACTAAACCATGCCACTTCATAGTTTATGCCATTTATTTTTTCATTTGTGAGACTTTCTCTCACTTTGCTTTAGGAAATATATTAGTTTCTATGGAAACAAAGACATCAGAATTTAGCAACTTCCAAATACAATATAACATTAATTTTATAGTTGTTCAAAAGTTATATCACGGTCATTGAAATACAAGAGTTTATGATGGTTAAGAAAAGTGACACCTTAACATGTATCATGCTTTTGAATATTTATACTGTGATATTTAAGACAGATTTGGTAATATTAAGTGTGAACAAGTGGGTTTCAAAATTGGGCTTCTAATGGAAACTTTGTTTCAACTGTACCTATGGTAGAGACTAGCAGCCTTCCATAATGGAGAGCCACTTACCAGAGGATGAAATGGGGAGTTTGCTAGTGCTGCTACTGACTGCTTCTTCACTGTGCTCCATGGAGGTAGAGATGGAAAGATCACCAATGGTGCTGCTGGTTGCTTGTAGGGAATACTCACCAGAGGCATATAAGGAAAGTTTGTCATTGATGCTGCTGCTTCTGGGCAAGGGGGACTGGCCTGAGGTGGAGAAGAAAAGGTTATTGATTTGCTTACCTGGCCTGGAGCATCTACTAAAGGCAGAGAACGGACATTTTCTATTTCATTATTTCACTGTTTTATCGATATTTTCACCCAGAAATGGGTTTTTCTATTAGGCAAGAAGGAAAGGTTAAGGACTTTTCTATGGTTTTCTATATGTTATTGGGATTGGTGGTTACATTAACCCATTCATATATATAAAATCAAGGTAAACAGACTGTACACACAAAAACAAGGATATAAAGTAAGGGGTGCTTCATTTTGCAACTTTAACATTGTAGCAGGGAGAACACCCACTCTAGCCCTGAAGGGGTTGGAAAAGCCCTATAGAGGGCTGGGGCTAGGGAAGGGAGCAAAACCCCGGCTGATTGGGAGAAGTGGCTGCAGCTGGGGCCATGCCCCAAACAGAGCAACTTGGCCTTATAAGAAGGCCAGGGCAGCCAGAAGCTGAGGAGTCTCACTCTGACTGGAGAGAAAGACAGGCCTGGCTGCTGGGGAACTCACCGGGGACCTAGAGTGAGGCAGGGCTGGGGAAAGGCCTTGGGGCAGGGAAGCCTTAGGCCAGTAACTCCCCAGGCTGCAGGGCCTGGTCCTGGTCCTGGTCCTAGGCCTTCATAGGTATTGGGGTTGCAGAGGGACAGCCTGAGGGTGGGTAAAGGCAGCCAGTCCAAATCCCTTGTTGCCTGTGATGATTGGCTGATAGACTGCAGTCCGCCCCAGGGCGTGGGGGTTAGATGGTGACTGGCAGTAGTCATGTCTGAGGCAACGTGGGGACAGGGAGTGGGGGTTCCTCTGGGTGGAGAGACCCAGAGAGAGAGTGGGGTACTGCCAGGGGGCAACACACAAGCCAAGGGCACCAGGGTCCGGGAGGGACACAGGGACCAACGACAGATGGGACACCTGGCCTGCAGAGGGCGCTCAAATGACTGGTGAGCTAATTCCCAAGATGACCAGCAGGAGGTGCCACAGGGGTGAGTCTGCGCCTGATTACAAGTGGTGGAGAATGCGGGCAGGAGCGGTCTGCCCCTGACACAAGGGGCTAGAGCACGGACAGCAGGATTATTGCCCAGAGACTTTGGAAGGGGACAATGGAACCCCAGTATACTGGGGTGTATTTTGCAGAGGCCCCAGGTCTTAACCCTGATTGGGGACAGGCGTCAGCACCCTGGACGAAGGGGGCTGATGACCCACAGAGATTATGGAAGGTGCAGTGGGCCCTCCACAAGCAGTTGGGCCAGCTGGTGGATGAGCAGCGGGCCCTGGCAAAGATCCTCCGGCAGAAGTGGCGAAGGAGAAAGACTTCTTATACATGCAGAAGGCAGGGACATGTAAAGAGGGATTGTCTCTATTTGGCCGGGGGTAGGGCGCCGCCCCACAAACAGGAACAGGGACAAGTCCCACAGCTAATCTGCTGGGAGAGGGAACCCAGGCGGCTGAGGACATGTTGGGCCTGTGGGCGACAAGGGCACCTGCAGTGGGCATGCCCAGGCCCAAGGCAGTGGGTCCCAGTCAGGCCCGGTGAGGGGGCGGGACCCCAGAAGGACCCCAGAAGGTCCAAGGTAGCCAAGAGGCAGGGAGCCTGCTGGGGCTGCAGTGAACTGGGCCACGTAAGGAGGCATTGCCCCCTTAGGGGAGCTGAGGCACGACCGATGGAGGTGCCTGGAGACCCGGATGGGTTGAAGCGTGAGAAGCTGGTGAAGGCAACACCCAGGATGGAGGGGACCCCGTGGGAGGTCGGGACCCAGACCCTCGCTAGGCAGGTCTTCAGCCGGGGAGTAGGGACAGAGGGGGCCCAGCAAGAGGCCGGGACCCAGGCTGGTGTGGAGAAGGTCGCCGTGGGGACCCAGACCCAGAAGGAAGAGGGCCTGGGGTACTCGGGTCTATGGGCGTGGCTGGAGGCTGCGGAAGAGGCCCGCCGGACAGCGGAGGCGGAGCTCCGAAAGGCCCGTCAGGAAAGGGAAGGTCTGGCCTGAAAACTAAAGGAGGCCGAGGAGAAGCAAGGGCGGCTAGCCAGACACCTCCGGGCTGCACAAGCTAGGGGACCACCCCCTTCTCCCGGGCGTGGGATCGTGACGGGGTGTGTGTGTAGCAGGATGAACACCCACGCCAGCCCTGAAGGAGTTGGAAAAGCCCTGTGGAGGGCTGGGGAGAGGAGCAAAACCCCGGCTGATTGGGGAAGTGGCTGCAGCTGGGGCCATGCCCCAAACAGAGCAACTCGACCTTATAAGAAGGCCAGGGCAGCCAGAAGCTGAGGAGTCCCACTCTGACTGGAGAGAGAGACAGGCCTGGCTGCTGGGGAACTCACCGGGGACCTAGAGTGAGGCAGGGCTGGAGAAAGGTCTTGGGGCAGGGACGCCTTAGGCCAGCAACTCCCCAGGCTGCAGGGCCTGGTCCTAGGCCCACATAGGTATTGGGGTTGCAGAGGGGCAGCCTGAGGGTGGGTAAAGGCAGCCAGTCCAAATCCCTTGTTGCCTGTGATGATTGGCTGATAGACTGCAGTCCACCCCAGGGCGTGGGGGCTAGATGGTGACTGGCAGTAGCCATGACTGAGGCGACATGGGGGTTCCCCTGGATGGGGAGACCCAGAGAGAGAGTGGGGTACTGCCAGGGGGGCAACACCCAAGCCAAGGGCACTAGGGTCCGGGAGGGACACGGGGGGCCAACGACAGGCAGGACACCTGGCCTGCACAGGGCGCTCTGATGACTGGTGAGCTAATTCCTGAGACGACCAGCAGGAGGCGCCGCAGGGGTGAGTCTGCGCCTGATTACAAACATTATTTTATTTTAATTTTTAGTATGGAATTTCCTCAGTATTTAAAAACAGAAATTTAACAAAACAAAGAAATTACCAGTACATTAATTTGGATTTATTTGTTAGATAGCAATAAAAACCTCCATGCTGCACAGTATATGCACCCAGTGACATTTATTCTACTGTAGAACACCAGTGGAAGGCTTATGCACCACTGAGTTTCCACTTACATTCTCAGGACTTAGGTAGTGCATAGACCTGGCACTGGCCATCCACAAAGGAGTGAATTGCACTCGGATTGCATTGTCATGGACATGAATAAGGGCCCTGCCCCTTTCCACATGTACCCTGTCACAGTCCACAATCACTTTATCAAAAGGGTGACTGGTCCTTTTAAGGGCACGTTTACACTTCCAGACATGCCCATGTTAGTTCTAATGGAGCTAACATGCTAACAGAGTGTAGTGTGGGTATCCAGCAGTTGAGAAATGGGATCAGGTGAGAGTTGCCTAGAGAGAGCTGCATGAGACCAGACAGAGCAGTAGTTGTGAGCTGGCAGAGAGCGTTACTGCAGAGAGAGAATGGATGAGAGCTGTTGGGGGGAGTGCTGCAGACATGAGCTGTTGGGGAGAACTGGTCAGGGCTGGGCAGCCCTGCTGTGCAGGAGGCTTGTATAGAGGACCCTAAGTGAAGGGGGAGAACCAGTTCAGTCAGGGCAGGCCAAGCCCAGGAAAAAGCCCAGGTCAATTCTGGAGGGAAG